AAGAACGAAATTTGTTCTATCTTAGGAGACAATTGCTTATCAACCTTAAGCACTAAGAGGGAGCAAACCTGTTTTAAGGAAACTGTGATTACAAAGGGCTCAGATTATTGTTTGTATTATTGGATTTTCGATTTTTTGGATTTTATTGTTTATGCAGATCCACGTCCTTGTGAGTGCACTGTTTTTTATTTTTATACATTTTCTTTAGATTAGTGCATAAGTTAAACTTTATACAGTTTAATATAATCTAATTATATACATATTTTCTATGACAAATTACCCCCACTTAGAGTTGACAAGCAAAATAGACTTGTGTGGAATAGATTTATATCTCTATTATATTTTTATTATTTTCTAGATCATTGTTCAAATAGGTTTTATTATTTTTTGTTCCTTAAAACTAGTTTTAGAAATATATAACCAAATAAGTTTTGCAATATAAAAACATCAAAACACACTTTCTTAAAATTATTTCCAAAAATATATTTTTGGATACTATTTTGTGAGATACAATCCAAATACACTCGTAGTCCTCCCCTTTTCACTAACAAAAAATGTTATTTGAACTTATAATACTAATCCGATTTGCTTATTTAATTAATCAAACCCATTGAATTGATAGGTCCTAACAAATATTATAATTCACTGTTAAATCAATATCAACGATCGATTAAGTTAGCAAATCAATCAACATTTTACATCTATGTAAAATCAGTCCACTAACAAACAAACTGTAACCTCAATATGACTTTTTACTGCAAACAAAAAACAAAGTGATATTTTTCTATCTAAATTTCAATTAGGGCGAATTTTACTTTGCAGCATAAAAGATTTTAAAGTTTCTTTGCATATTCAAAGGTTAAATTTTTTATACATTGTACCTTTAATGTATCAAAGGTATTGTAATGTGACCATTTTTTTTTAACTTTTTGTTAGTTTTTTTTGTCAGTGTCAATGATTTGACTTTTAAAAAAAAAAAATAATAACAGNTTTTATACATTGTACCTTTAATGTATCAAAGGTATTGTAATGTGACCATTTTTTTTAACTTTTTGTTAGTTTTTTTTGTCAGTGTCAATGATTTGACTTTTAAAAAAAAAAAATAATAACGGAAGCTAACAGAAGACTAACATTATAACACTTTTGATATATTGAAGATGCAATATAAAAATTTTAACCTTTGAAAGTGTAAAGTGTGAATCTTAAAAACTTTCAGGATATAAAGTGCGAAAAATCCTTCTATTATAATATCTCAATTTCTGATTTTGTAATTTTGGAGAGGTAGATTCACTTTTGAAAATTGAATAGAAAAAGCACTAATATGGTATCTTTAGCACACATTCGAATTGACGCTATGGGTAGTCCGCTAAAAGCCTAGTAGAGTTGGTCTTCGTGGCCATGGCATGAGCGAATATTGGATTAAACATGAATTCGTAAATAACATAATTTATTAATACGAATAATAAATTGGTCAAATTAGTGTCAAAATAATAACACGCTTAACTAGTATTATATGAATAAAATATCAAATTTCTATTATTTTTGTTATTATATTTATAAAATTAATTTTTAATTTATCGAAAAAATATGAGTGCGCGTTCGACTATGTGATAATAAAATTTTAGACATAAATCTTAGTATTAAATCTTTAATTCATGTGTTATATGGGTTAACAAGAGCATGACATGAAAATAAACAAGTCAGGTTGACTCGATATAATTAGTTAAATTGGTTAAGTTAAATATAACTAGTGTTTGATATAAATTCGTAAATGACACAACACGAACATATACGACACGACACGATTACTATCCCTAATGTATACAGTACTTGTATCCACAACTCGACCCAATAAATTGTGGGTTGCATGCTTGCACAAATGAAATATTGCCTTTGCACGTATTGTTTTGAGAGCAATGTTACTTGAACTTAATGTGAGGATGTAATTGAGGACGTATTTCAAACTCTATTAAATTATTTATGAATTTTAATGTTATTTTTTATCCAACAACTATAATAGATTAGATTTCTAAATTTAAATACAAATATCCAAAAAACGTGAGTGGGTTGCTTTGTTACGTTTGGGGGTTCTTGCTCCACTTGGTTTATGTTCCGAATTATAGCCAATTAGATTATTTTATTACTTGTAAAATTAAATGATTTTTGATTTCTTTTTTAATGCAAGTACCTTTTCTCAATATTTTTTTGATTTCTTTTTGTTGGGCTTGTTATTTTAGTTGTTTTTCAAAACATTTATAACATGGGCCCATTTAATTTGGTATTAAATCCATTAACTTGATTTTATCACGAGCCCATGACCCACTTTATTTTCCTTACCGGCGGGAGTATCATAGACAATATAAAAGGAGTTCTAGGCCACGACGAGGAATATGAGCTTGTAGCTTACGAAGGAAGCTTTCATTATAATCTCTTTGAAAAAATTTACTTGTGCTTTTATAAAGAACTATTAGGAGAAGATTCTTAAACACTCTTCGCAACAAGTGTATATTGGTGGCGGTGAAACTATAGAGATTCTGGTAGGTTGTCATGCCAAGGACCTATCACACCGAATTATTGACTTCGAGAGACATGAATCAACCTTGAAAGACAAAACTTCGACTTGATCTATAGTTTGGTAAGATCATTCTTTACTTATACTAGCAATACACCACGTGCGTTGTATGTGAATAATTTTCGTATATAAAATACTAATAAAAAATATTATGTATATGTAGTTTATCCAATTTCAGAGGATATTTGATTGAGAGAGAGAGAGAGAGGAGGGGGGAAGGAAGAGAGAGAGAAGATAAAATGTTTTCAAACTAGATGGTGAGAGAGAGAAGCTAAAAGGTTTTTCAATTGGTTTGTATGACAGTCGGAAGATTTTTGTTCCGTTTTCTGAGAGAGAGAACTTGTTCAAAAACAAGGTTAAACAAAAGAAGATTAAGAAATACAAATGATATCGCTGTCTACTTAGTTTTCCTAATGGCAGAAAATCATTTACTAGATAATTGGAAAAGGTGAAATTATTACAAATTATGGTGAAAGTTTTTTGAAATTATTAAAAATTACAGAAGGATAGTGTGATATTTAGAATTATTTATAAAAGTAAAATAGAATCAAAAAAATTGTATACTAAGCCAAAAGTTTCATTTTTTATTAGTAGTATAAAGAAAAAAAATACATATATATAGACATAATGTTATCTTTATATTTGAAAAGAGTGATGAATTATTGATGAAGTTTTTGAACACTTTATTAAAAATTATAATTATGCATATATTTTTTTAAGGGTAACATAGTCAATTAAAATTTTTCATAGATATTAATATTTATATAAAGATAATAAAGAATTAAAAGAGATGTTAGAGGGTAATTTAGAGATTTAAATACATAAGTATGTAATTGTAATTTAGATATTTGACAATGAAAAGCTAGTATGGTATTTAAAATTTTTTATGAGGATAAAATAGTTAATCAAAATTTTTTCACTTAAGGTACTTTTATTAGTAATATAAATATAGATATAGATTTCATAAATTAATTTTTAGGGAAAATCATTTTTGGGGCTAAATTCTGGGGTCTTTATTTTAAAGAAATTAATCTTGTGCAAGGGTTGTTTTCCATTATTTTATTGCATTATTATATAAATTATACAACAATATTAAAGGTTGATCTTGCAATGGATATACAACTTCCTACAAAAACAAAGATCTTATCCGATGTTTCTAAAATTGAACTTTTTGATAGAAATAATTTTCGTAGATGGAAACAAAAGGTTCTTGATGTGTTGAGTTTTTTGAAATTATCATTTGTTCTAATCGAACTTAGACCCAATGATGATACCGAAAATTATGCTCAGGCTTTGAAAAATCAGAATTTTGTCTATAAATTATGCTTAAGTACTATTTGTAATGTTTTGTCTAATGATCTATTTAATGTGTATAATCATATTGAGAATGCTAAATTTTTATGGGATGAGTTGATATCTAAATATGAGTTTGAGGATGAAGGTACTAAGAAATTTTTTGTCATTAATTTTCTTCATTACCAAATGATCAAGGACAAGGTCATTGCATCACAAATTTATGAATTTTAAAATATAATAAGGGCATGTTTGTATGGGGGATTGATTGTGGCTGGTATTGGACATGATATGCACTCCACTCCTACCCAATGAGTTACTAGTCTTACACTTATATCCCATCCTTCCCTTTGTTTGTTTCTTACAAAAATTATTTGTGTGAGACCTAGGAAAAAGGTGTCTCAGATGAACCATGCACTGTAAAAAGACAATTGTAACCTTATAATCCAAAGCAATACATGCCCTTGTTTGTTAATACAACCACTTGTGCATGCATAAAACCAAAAACTTGTTTTTTTTTAATGTTCCACATATTGCATGCACTGTTGCTCTTTTCTCCCAGGCAACCAACATCGACCATTGTAGCAACAATATGACTGTTGTATTTTTTGTAAGCATCTGTCCAGTGTTCAACCTTAACACTAAAAACTCACAAAAAAATCCCCATTGGAACAATTCATCCAGCTATCAGTGCACACACAACACACAACATTGTCCTTCCTTTTATAGAAATAAATTGCATGCACAACACATCAACATATATAACGTGAAATATAAGATACCAATGCAAGTACATCAAAAAAGATAAACTGTAAGCAATGCAGTTGGCTCCAACATAGCATCTATTTTTTGCACCTTAACACAACACATCAACAAAGGGTTCAACCAACCTCGATGCCAACAACTAGATGCAAGTTTAAAACATCCATACATAGTATAAACACCAACATTCCCAAAAGACGAAACCCCCCAAACATAGCAACAACAACCAAGTTCGACCATGCTTGTTGTGATTTACAACTACCATCACACGCATTCATACCCAAAAAACAAAATGGCATGTGGGAAGCATATGCATACAGTCATAATCTAACAGGGATAATGCTTAATCAGAAACATCGATAACCTCTTTGTCTTAGGTTGGAACACCACCTGAACAGGAGCCCACACTTTCAATCAACTCTTCCGGGAACACCTTGTCAAAAACCTTGATCATTCTCTCGAACAAAGAACATGGTTCGAAGCACCAGATTCTAGCAAACTTGTTTGCTTGCAAGTTAATTACTTTTAAATACAACAAGAATTCAAGCAAAGGTGTAAACAAAAAAAACAAAGAGGCTAACTATGATATTCATTAATATAGTTTTGAATTAAACACTTACCAACAAGTAGTCCTCAGCTCCAGCAATCGGCCCACTGACAATGCACAAGTCAGCTGAGTCCCAAGCAAACATCATCGTCTTCAACATAGACTGGATAGTGAAGTACTGCTTCTTCCTAAAAAAAATAATCTTCAAAAGGTCAATCTGATTCATGCTAAAAGCAAACAACCTCCTTTTCATCTGCCTTAACAGATTCTTGAAGTTTTGTGTTGTCATGCTGCCTCGTTCAAGCACAATTCCCTGTTGTTTGTTTCGAAGCAACAAATCCATCAAGACATCACTTTTTGCAACACCAATTTAAGGAACCGACATTTTTCTATATAATATTATGCAAGCCAAATGCAAAAACTGTTGACACATCACCAGTTTATATAAATTCATCAAACAAAAATCATAGCATAACAAAAAAAATTCCTAATAGATTTCCATTCATTTTGTAGATCATATTCACACATTCCTCAGTCAATGTCAAAATAAAGGAGGTAAAATTAGAATGCTTACTAAATAGAGCTCCAAACACTAACCTTAAAGATTGTCCAAAAGGTGCCAAAAAATACAAACATAGTTCAAGAAAGTCTACCTCAAAAAAAAGTATAGAATATGGGTTAGCACCATACCCAAAACAAACATCACAACATACATAGGACAATTACCGACATGATGGTCTCCCTCGCCCTTGTCATCGTGCCCAACAATTGTCGGGGCTGCTAGAGGAATGTCCATTGCATCTTCCACCCGAAGATGATCCAAAGGTTGATTCTAATGGACAACCAGCTCACAATCATGTTGGACTTCTCTCACGACATCTTCATTTGCAATGTACATGCGCAATGCGTTTTCAGCCTTGATGTACGAGTCACAAGACTTGTACAACACGCTTGGGTACTTATTGACTTGCACATGACATTCTTGCCATGTTGTATAGACACCAACTTATTTCCCAATAAACACAACGTAAAAGCGTGTTCGCGTGTGCATCACTTGTCTAACTAAACACATGTTAGTACATTTTTATGCAGGTGCATACCAATATAATAAGCAAGTGTTAATAAACATAAAGTCATTATGCAAGAGCAACTAACTTGTTCAAACTTCAAAACAGCCCAACATGTTATTTCAGATATAGGAAATAATTTACATAAGCACATAACCATATTTTACATATGAACATAGGTGAACAAGAAAAAAAAGTGGATAGTATATCACGTCACTTTATAGGGTCTATATGACTAATTTCACCTATATCATGTCAAAAGAAAGGTTACCCAACCCTACACCTGTTGGTAGCTAGATCTGTACAACAACTTTCTTACCCACGATGGCTTTGAAGCTTTAGACAAGCTAAAGAACAAGTCCACCTTAACAAGATCAAAGGCAAATTCTGTAACTAGACTCATAGAGTAGATCCTCATCAAGCCACTCAATTTTTTCAAGCTCAGCAAATATTTTTTTCTTGGATTTAGAAATATCTTGGGCATGGCCTACCCTATGTGAGACATTATNGGAAACAAAAGGTTCTTGATGTGTTGAGTTTTTTGAAATTATCATTTGTTCTAATCGAACTTAGACCCAATGATGATACCGAAAATTATGCTCAGGCTTTGAAAAATCAGAATTTTGTCTATAAATTATGCTTAAGTACTATTTGTAATGTTTTGTCTAATGATCTATTTAATGTGTATAATCATATTGAGAATGCTAAATTTTTATGGGATGAGTTGATATCTAAATATGAGTTTGAGGATGAAGGTACTAAGAAATTTTTTGTCATTAATTTTCTTCATTACCAAATGATCAAGGACAAGGTCATTGCATCACAAATTTATGAATTTTAAAATATAATAAGGGCATGTTTGTATGGGGGATTGATTGTGGCTGGTATTGGACATGATATGCACTCCACTCCTACCCAATGAGTTACTAGTCTTACACTTATATCCCATCCTTCCCTTTGTTTGTTTCTTACAAAAATTATTTGTGTGAGACCTAGGAAAAAGGTGTCTCAGATGAACCATGCACTGTAAAAAGACAATTGTAACCTTATAATCCAAAGCAATACATGCCCTTGTTTGTTAATACAACCACTTGTGCATGCATAAAACCAAAAACTTGTTTTTTTTTAATGTTCCACATATTGCATGCACTGTTGCTCTTTTCTCCCAGGCAACCAACATCGACCATTGTAGCAACAATATGACTGTTGTATTTTTTGTAAGCATCTGTCCAGTGTTCAACCTTAACACTAAAAACTCACAAAAAAATCCCCATTGGAACAATTCATCCAGCTATCAGTGCACACACAACACACAACATTGTCCTTCCTTTTATAGAAATAAATTGCATGCACAACACATCAACATATATAACGTGAAATATAAGATACCAATGCAAGTACATCAAAAAAGATAAACTGTAAGCAATGCAGTTGGCTCCAACATAGCATCTATTTTTTGCACCTTAACACAACACATCAACAAAGGGTTCAACCAACCTCGATGCCAACAACTAGATGCAAGTTTAAAACATCCATACATAGTATAAACACCAACATTCCCAAAAGACGAAACCCCCCAAACATAGCAACAACAACCAAGTTCGACCATGCTTGTTGTGATTTACAACTACCATCACACGCATTCATACCCAAAAAACAAAATGGCATGTGGGAAGCATATGCATACAGTCATAATCTAACAGGGATAATGCTTAATCAGAAACATCGATAACCTCTTTGTCTTAGGTTGGAACACCACCTGAACAGGAGCCCACACTTTCAATCAACTCTTCCGGGAACACCTTGTCAAAAACCTTGATCATTCTCTCGAACAAAGAACATGGTTCGAAGCACCAGATTCTAGCAAACTTGTTTGCTTGCAAGTTAATTACTTTTAAATACAACAAGAATTCAAGCAAAGGTGTAAACAAAAAAAACAAAGAGGCTAACTATGATATTCATTAATATAGTTTTGAATTAAACACTTACCAACAAGTAGTCCTCAGCTCCAGCAATCGGCCCACTGACAATGCACAAGTCAGCTGAGTCCCAAGCAAACATCATCGTCTTCAACATAGACTGGATAGTGAAGTACTGCTTCTTCCTAAAAAAAATAATCTTCAAAAGGTCAATCTGATTCATGCTAAAAGCAAACAACCTCCTTTTCATCTGCCTTAACAGATTCTTGAAGTTTTGTGTTGTCATGCTGCCTCGTTCAAGCACAATTCCCTGTTGTTTGTTTCGAAGCAACAAATCCATCAAGACATCACTTTTTGCAACACCAATTTAAGGAACCGACATTTTTCTATATAATATTATGCAAGCCAAATGCAAAAACTGTTGACACATCACCAGTTTATATAAATTCATCAAACAAAAATCATAGCATAACAAAAAAAATTCCTAATAGATTTCCATTCATTTTGTAGATCATATTCACACATTCCTCAGTCAATGTCAAAATAAAGGAGGTAAAATTAGAATGCTTACTAAATAGAGCTCCAAACACTAACCTTAAAGATTGTCCAAAAGGTGCCAAAAAATACAAACATAGTTCAAGAAAGTCTACCTCAAAAAAAAGTATAGAATATGGGTTAGCACCATACCCAAAACAAACATCACAACATACATAGGACAATTACCGACATGATGGTCTCCCTCGCCCTTGTCATCGTGCCCAACAATTGTCGGGGCTGCTAGAGGAATGTCCATTGCATCTTCCACCCGAAGATGATCCAAAGGTTGATTCTAATGGACAACCAGCTCACAATCATGTTGGACTTCTCTCACGACATCTTCATTTGCAATGTACATGCGCAATGCGTTTTCAGCCTTGATGTACGAGTCACAAGACTTGTACAACACGCTTGGGTACTTATTGACTTGCACATGACATTCTTGCCATGTTGTATAGACACCAACTTATTTCCCAATAAACACAACGTAAAAGCGTGTTCGCGTGTGCATCACTTGTCTAACTAAACACATGTTAGTACATTTTTATGCAGGTGCATACCAATATAATAAGCAAGTGTTAATAAACATAAAGTCATTATGCAAGAGCAACTAACTTGTTCAAACTTCAAAACAGCCCAACATGTTATTTCAGATATAGGAAATAATTTACATAAGCACATAACCATATTTTACATATGAACATAGGTGAACAAGAAAAAAAAGTGGATAGTATATCACGTCACTTTATAGGGTCTATATGACTAATTTCACCTATATCATGTCAAAAGAAAGGTTACCCAACCCTACACCTGTTGGTAGCTAGATCTGTACAACAACTTTCTTACCCACGATGGCTTTGAAGCTTTAGACAAGCTGAAGAACAAGTCCACCTTAACAAGATCAAAGGCAAATTCTGTAACTAGACTCATAGAGTAGATCCTCATCAAGCCACTCAATTTTTTCAAGCTCAGCAAATATTTTTTTCTTGGATTTAGAAATATCTTGGGCATGGCCTACCCTATGTGAGACATTATCAAGCTTATGACCACAAGTAGCAACATAATCACCTAAGACCCTGGTCATATCACCCAAGCTAGCTGTCGAAATTTTTCTCTTCTTGACCTTTTTGGTAGTGGGGAGGTGTCAGTGCAAACGTCCATGCCTTAAGTCGCAATATGACTTGTGTTATTGATCTCATTTTCATTGTTAGTGTGAGGTGGGTCAACTTCATGCTATGCATTCTCATTGTCATTAGATCCTTCACAAATTCTCCTATTGCTTAATCCTTGACGAAAATAATTCCCTAATCTTTGTAGTATGACCAACATTTTTAATGCATCCCCCTAACTTGCTTATCATTCTACAACAATTATACCACGAATGAACATGCCTCGAATAAGTGGAGTACTAAAAATAACAAAGCCCTCTATTAATTAAAAAGTGGTATGACAGACCAAATTACCTTTAAATACTCTTCCCACACATTATCAGAATCAATCTCGATTTGTTATCAGTGTCATTAAACTCGAAGCCACTTGTGTTCATCATGGAAATTATACAATTATACTGTCTCTTCCATATTTTTATCTTTTATTCGATGTGTGGTTGTGCACGAATCGTACTGCTACTAATTTTTTGTCCTAGCAACTGCAAATAGCCTGACCTGAATGTACCATTATGGTACTTCAACCCCGCTACACATAGATCCTTCAGTGCATATAATAGTTGTGCATCTTCTGCACTTGTCCATATTCGTTTGGTCCTTTTTTCTGCTTGAATACAACTCATACTCTGCAAGCTGTCAACACTAACCATATTCGCTATATATATATATATATATATATATATATATATATATATATATATATATATATATATATATTAGTCTAAAGTGAATATGCAATGTAAAATCAATTACAATACAAAAAATGTGGAATATATAGCATAATAACACCACGAAATCAATTGCATTCCTTAACATTTAGGACAACCATTAATCAAACCCAAAAGAGTAGGCTACGAAGTACCAATAACACATTACAAACATATCCATCCTTTAGTTTAATAATTGAAGGTCACAGAATAAACCCCCTCCACCTCCCCCCAAAATTCATCTACCCATCCGCCAGTTATCATACATTTCAGTCACCAACTGATTCCTCTAAGCAGTCCACATAATAGTAGAGGTCTCAGCACTATCATCTACGTTGATGTTGGTATTGTCAAAGTCCTCATTAATAACATACTCAAGTATTTGGTCTTTCAATGGGTCAATTGACATCTCATTTCTAATGAAATTATGTAACAGACAACAAGCAACAATACTTCTGTTATGTGTGGGGAAAGGGTAGAAACAAGCAATTCAAAGGATTGCCCATTGTATCTTGAGGATAGCAAAACACCTCTATAACATTCCTGGTGAAGGAATGTTTTAGGTTGAAATATTCCTCAACATTTCGAGGAACTGCCCTNTAGCTTTCCTGCTTTCCCACGAATAACAAGTGATATTTTCAGTATTCAGGTACCTTAGTTGTCCCATAGAAAATCAATTACTCACTCATAACAGTTGAAGATACCAGTCCACCCCTTCAGAAAGGCACTTCCAAGAAGTTGTTGTCCCATTATCAAAATATGACTCAAAATTGTCAATTGTTCCAACTCCATCATGTGGGTTGAGGACTGAAACTTTCTATAATTATTGATAGTTTCTAGCAAATAAAAAAATTCAGCACAATGGGCCAATTCAATTGTTACTCAAAACTAACAAGCACGAGGTCATCAGCTTGGATAGTCAATCATGTATATATGCGGAAAGTTAGAATATGCATCCCTCCCAGATGGCAATTCACAAGTTGCTTACAGCCAAGGTAGGGCAGGTTGTGTAGATTCAATTCCATTACTTACTTGATTTTTTTTTGTGGAATTAGCTTTGGGCTTTTGTGCTTGTGCACAAGGTGCTTC